TGCTAAGCTGTAGTTGACTGCGCTTGACTCAATTGTCCGTCTTTATCTCATTATTCAATTCCGATTAATTTATCTCACGTTATCCGGCGCACTTATATACAGGAATAGAGGGCGCCTAGCACATACTGGATTATTCGTGATGTTCCCCGATCCTTCTAGAATATCATGACGTGTTACCAGCGTCACGTGACTACCGCTGTCGTAACACTACGTTTTCCAAGCGGCACGTTTGATAGAATACAACTGTGATCCTGCTCAAGCAATTTGTCGTCGAAAGTGCCTCTGCATATATATATATAAACATATAATACGCTCATTATCTATATGAATAAAAGCTAACAAAGTGGCATAACTATATTTTTAACACTACATTCTTCATCTAGTCCCTTTTAAGAATTAGAAGAGTGTATTACATTATTCAACCACACTGTGTTTACCATATCCACTGTTCACGACGCGTTTCGCTCAATCCAGAGCTTTTGAGGCCGACTGGGATACAACAAAATCAGTAGTGGTCGTAACCCGTGTCCCAACCGGTTTAATGAGTTCAGGATTGAGTGAAACGCGTTGTGAGCAGTAGATATGGCGAACAGAAAGTGATTGAAATAATACTGTTATCGTCCACTCTCATAATTCTTAAAAATCCCTAAGGAACTAGATAAAGAATGTAATATTGAAAATGTAAAAGGCTTAATACTAGTTACTAATTACGACAAGTATAATTAATTATTATCATACTTCGCCAACTTGAAAAAGGTGTTCACATCATAATAAAGTGACATCATCAATACTTTTGGTTTATTTATTTAATAAACATACTAATTATCAACTACGATAAGTTTTCCTCGTCTGAAATCACGAGCATCACTTAGTTTCTTCCCAAAATTTATTATATTTCCCGAATCTTCCCACACATTTTGTCCCCAGTGGCTCAGGGGTAAATTTAAGGGCTCACACCACTAAAAATCGGGTTTTTATATTCGTGGTGATAGCCCATTGTGTAGTTTTGCGCTTTACAACAAAGGAAAAAGATTACACATTTTACTATCCCAGCATTCACCACATCGACGAAAATTGTTTATCAAGAAACAGCATGATAATTCAGCTTTAACAAAGTAAAACATTCGTTATCAATAAAAGCAAAGCACGTGACTTTCATCAATGTCATTATATACTCAGGGTGTATTAGCATCACTGGTATTTTTATGAGAAGTGTAAACAATAGGCTAAATGTAAAGAAGAAACATTTCTCAAGTATTTGTCACCCCAACTATTCCCTACATATATATATATCCTAATTCTGGAGGATGGCCTATTAAGAAACGAAGTTTTAAGATTTTGAAGTTAACACAGTTTTAAAGCATGTTGTACATAGTAATGTTTCTTTATTTTTGAACTTCGCGCAAAGCTACACGAGGGCTATCTGCGCTAGTCACTCACCGCCAACTCTTGGGCTACTTACTCTCTTCCAAAGAATAGTGGAATTGACTGTAACATTATAACGCCCCCACGGCTGAAGGGGCGAGCACGTTTGTTGGGAGGGTGGATTCGAATCCGTGACCCTCAGATTGTGAGTCAAGCGCCCTAACCACTTAGCCATGCCGTGCTGTACACAGTAATTATGTGTATTGTGTAATCAATCTTGTGTATCAATAATTTATTTAGTGAATCACCTATTTGTATTCATAAGCTTTAATAGTGTATTTTGTGAATGATAACATGCTGATTTGCACGCATATTTTAGTACATTTCAATAAAAAGTATTCAATCCAATATGGAATAATTCTCGCTGCGTTTCGTCACACGCTTTCTAGTTATCTCTCTGACTGTATTGTTTCAACTGTAATGATATTACAAGAATTCATATTATGACTCACAACTTTTTGACTTGAACTAATAAACATTAAAGCATGAACAATACATAAAAATACTTTTATTTCATCTGTCGATCTTTTACTAAAAAGAAGAAAAAAATCAGAGAGAACAAATTGCAGAGTAACTTGACTTTATTGTTCATAACTGATTTACTTTTCTGTTAATTAACAGGCGTAAAAAATATAAAAAAAAAGCTATGACATACGCGCTAAGACACTTTCAAAAATACATTATGTACAATAAAGTATATCAGGTGAAGATAATATGCAGAGAAATTAAGTTCAAAAATGTTCTAATTTAAATGGGTAATAAATAAAATAAATATAAAAATACAATAAACCAAACTAGATTAGGTTCGCTCAAATGGATATCAGATTTTTTTCTGGGTGTTCTTAACTCCTTCTATTTTTAAATCTAACTGTTGATAATTAGTTTGACATTGTTTATATTACCAATTAATTATAATTTATATTTTTTAATCAAGAAAGGATTTCAATTTACTATATCTATAAATTGTTACACGATGTTGTAAAGAATAAAAGAAAATATTGTCTAGGTTTGAGGATCTTTTCTGTAACTAGTTTGTGACCTGCTTGACATCTTTCTCTCGGAAATCGTATTATAATGGAGCTTGCAATGTATACATCCAAAACTCGGATCTCGGAAACTACTGCATCGATCATAACTGGGTAATATTTCTATAACTAGGCAGTATTTTTACAGCTGACCAATAAATAAAACAATTGAAGTTTCCATAAAAATGATGTTTCAACTTTAACCAATAAAAATTACAAAAATGGAGTAAGTTTCAAATATAAAACAATCAAAAATCAATCTTTAAAAATATTATTTGTTTTTCTTTAGTGAAAATCTTATGAGTGTTGCAACAGAAAAGCAAGGCACTTTCATTGATAACTACGTCTACAAAGAAATACTTCAATAAAATCTACTCTGTAATGATAGCTGATTTTTAAACTAAAATTTCAATAAAATCATATTTCTCGTGGATGGTGAACGTTATTGAATGTCAAGTATGAGAACATTGTTGTAGAACTGTCAGACAATTCCAGAAAAGGCCGCAGGTCCAACAGCCTTCCGCAGGAACTAGCATTTATACCTGCCCGGAGGGAGAGTATTTCTGCTATTTCTAGTAATAAGTGTAAGTACATTACTCGCAGGTGATAACTAAATTTAAGCTAATACCCTGCCTTCTCCCAGAGTTTTCATATGATATTTTTCTATCATTTTCAGAAACTGCTTTGTGCATTTTATTCGTACTTTTTATTTAGCTAGAGTGAACCCTAAAATTTTTCTTTTGCTTCCAAAAGTAATCATATTTGATTCTAATCTGAATCACAGTATTCCAAGGTTGATTAAATCAACGTTATGCACGAGCGCATTCTCTAAGGATATTATGTATTTTACCGATTGACAATCCTTTATATGAAAAAACTACTAATTATAGAAATATAATCTTCAAATACCTGTACTCTTTTTTGTTCAGATAATTTACAATACAATGTTTATAGGTAGCCTACTTAAACTTGCGTTTTGTAAAATGGCACCAATGTACTGGATTCTAGAAAGTATATTATCCTAGAATTAAGGAAAGAAAAATACATAAGCTTACGGGTACTTTTTAGGTACAAAAGTCATTGATTAAAACTGATTTATCACAGATTACGTCACTCTTAGGATTTCTCTTGGCCATCACCAACAAATAACGTTCTTACATCAAATAGTAGGATTTCCGAAAGGTTATAAAAGATCATCAAACATATTTAATTAACAATATACCGTTTTATCCTTAAAACACCCTGTGAAAGTTAATTACATATGGTGAACTTAAGTCCATTTTTGATTGAAAAATATAATTAACTGTTAACATACAAATAAATGTGGAGTTAGGCCTAAAGAGAATCAAACTCAAGAGGAACGGGAAACCAGAAACTAAGTGGTAATGCTAACATATACTAGCCTGCTGTTATGGAGACCTGAGATCGTTTTTCAGTAGGTCTAACTCTGTTTATGAACATAAATCCATAGCCAACAAGTAATGTACTATATATCACGTTATTATTTAATTTTACTTCCACTGCTGAGTTTTTATCCAAACATGCGAGTCCGCCGTTTTCCATAGCACAGTTTCAACTGATCGAGTAGTTTGAAACGCCCGCGAAAGTTAATACTTGCATAAAATGTATTGCGAAAATCGAATCGTTTCTGTATAAAAACGAGCTTACATACACTCATTGTGCAACATCTCACATGTGAAGTTGTTAATTGTCTTCGTTCTGTACTACATGTTGATATCATCTCGCATAAACAGCCACACAAAAGCGCCCTCTGCTTTATGTTTTACGACTCCTAACAAAGCAATGCATTACCAAAGCTTATCTTAATAAAATCATTGTGTGACTTGAATTATCATTTATACTGTTTAGTCATGGAGAGGGCATTTTCAAACTGATTAATAGTATTTTTATAATGATGAAGACTAGAAATATATGATTGTATTTTTGAAAGTAATGACATGAAGAATCATTTTCTTTCAACGGTATATGGCACAAAATTAATTCTTGGAGTGAGGTTAAACACTTTCATAAACCTATACAGGACAAGTCGAATCTGTGTCCGATTCTGACGAATATAAATCATTGTATATCATGTCCACCGTTATTTCGGTATTGTCTATCATATCTACTGCTTGTACAGTGGAGGATGCTTGAGGATTAATATGATTTTTCTGTAACGTCTGAAAGTGTTCGGGATTTATTTTTTTGGGACCATTTCTAAAAAGATCTTTATCCGGTTTAAACTTAGTTTCGACCTTCTCGTATATATTTGCGTGTTTTTCTTCACATTTATTTTCATTAATCTGTAGCGGCCTCTTCTCTTTACCCAATGTTTTTGGTGAAATTTGTGACTTGGTGGTGTACGAATCTACCGGTTCACAGTAGACTTCACCCTCTTGAGAACTACTGTTAGAATTACTTGAAATTCGTTTGATGGATTTTGAAACATTTTCGTCCTCAAACGGCTGTGAATAGACTGGTTCATTATCATCATTGGGAATGCGCGGAAGCGGAAGTTTCGGCCTCCGTGGGCTTGTAGGGGGTACCTCTTCCGAACTGAATTCAATGAGAGATGATTCCACTGGCGAATCCGGAAGCTCCTCATAAACGGCGGTGTTATAATAGTGTTCTTCCGGGGAAGAACCAAAAGTTGTCAGGGGTGGATGGCGGTCGCCTGGAAGAGTGGGAGTTTCTCTTTTTGTCGATTTGTTTAGTCGTCTGCAAATTAAAAATGTGGAAACTTACTTTCAGTTCACGTTCAAAGCCAAATATAAAACGTTGTTTAGAATATTCTCATATATTCATTTATTATTCCGAAGAAGAAAAAAACTGACTCATTAGGTTTCTAAAATAATGACTATCGTAATACAGTATTAAATTAAAACACGATAGCTTTAGTATCTCTGTTACTTATTCAAAAAATAGTAATAGTTAAAATGCTCCTTTCATATTGCCCCCTAGTTGGTCAGTGGTAATTCAGGGGACTTAGAAAGCTAAACACCGAGTTTCGATACCGGTGGTGGGAAAAGCAGAGACAGCCTATTGTGTTTAACAACAGACAAAATAGCTTTCAAGTTTTTGTTTAAATCTTTCACTATTGTTAAGCGCCCGTGTGGGTTTTTACTCAATAAGTTCCATTATTTTACTCTTATAGCGTGATTAATCAAAATACAATATACCAACTATTACTGACACTTGATAATTAATTAATCATATAAGTTCCTTTAGAACGACACTCACCGCCGTCGAAGCACAAAAACAACCATTACGATAAGAAGAATAAAGACAGCTGTTCCAGCTCCAACGGCAATCGCTGCGACTGCAGAAGAAATTTACAGTTAATTCTTTATTCAGTTGTGATGTAAAATATATATCCAATAAACCTTCTAACAAGATAACAATGTACCCTTTATCAATAGCTAATAACAGGTCTCTAAAAACAAATATTAGAAAATGATTATAAATAAAGAAATTATATCAAACAGTGGCGACCTACTGGAAAAAAACTACATCCTTGATTAGATGTTTGATGCTTTTCAAAGTCCGTCACAAAGATGAAAAAAAAACAGTTTAGTAAAAATAATTCACCACACTGTCTGTTTCTTTACATATTTGCAATGTATTGTTGGATGTAGATACAAACTATAATACTACTAAGTTAACGATTTTTATATGTGGTTGAGAGAGTTGTTTTATTACGTCAGTTTCTGCAATGTAGTCTGCATTTAGCAGAATTCAAAATATTCATTTATTTCTTGAACTTACGTATCAGTAGAAGACACTACTTGGGCGTCAGATACAAATAAAGAGATATAAGAAAAATATTTTATGTACACCAAGTCAATAAAGTGTTTAAAATTTGTTCAAAAGCTATGACAAAAAAAAAGAGCTTAAAAACTCAAGCATATTTGGTTTTGTTAGTTACACTTTTTTTAAATTTCCGAACTCTTTCACAATGTGATATTTTTATACGTGTTCAAAACTTTTGTCTTATTAATATGTACAGGCCTGTATTTAATAGTCTTCTTGCTCATGGGTTTAATGGTTACGATTTTCTTGTAACTCCGTAATCTTACCGTTGTCCTACCGGGGGACTACTAACATACATGCTTTATATTAAACGCTAAAATCCAGGGTTTAGTTCTCCGCGATGGACACGGCAGGCAGCTCAATGTAGCTTTGCTCTAAAACAAACAAAGCACGCTAGTGTCTGTCATGATATAAAAGACTGTTTAGTTTAGATATTATTGCTTAATTTATTTTGTAAGTGAATATTTTATTATTGGTTAGTTTTTGTTATGATAAGAGTTAAAAGCAGAGGATTGTATGAAGTTGTGTTTGTAAGTCATTGATGTTGAGACTATCGAACATCGCGTGCAATACATTGACGTCAAGAATATAAAGATTTCTAGAAGGCAAGCAGACGATTAAGTGATAAACATATGAATAGTGTTAGACGAGAGGAAACAGCGGAAAGAGAGTAAAGTTACGGGCAAATAAATGTTCAGCGTGAAGTTAACAACTGTAGAAGTGATAGGCCTAACGTTTAATAAGTTAGAGTAAGACTAACTGTAGAAAAGGAGATAAGAAAAATAATTTATTCGTTGAAGCGTGGTTCTAAAGTAATTGAATCAGCCTGGGTGCACTTTGGCAAAAGGAACAGAAGATATTTATAAGAAAGAAGACCAAAACGATTACGGTAACTAGCGCCACAATTGTAAATGAATCACACACAGAATACTAGTGCGATAGTACTAGAGAAGATAGTCCGGCCTGTCAACTGAAATTCTAAAGCAATGGAATAGCCTAATTTTATAAAACTTATTTTGAAAACATGTGAAGTGCGTGCTGTTCATTTATCGTCAACAAGTCACAGACATCTACTGTAGAAGAATACTGTTACGTCTCCGCGTGTTAATTAATTTTCCGTAACTTCGTTTCAACGAAACTTTAACG